CCAGATTGGTCTCGAGATTGCCGCCTCGATCTCCTCTCATGTATGGATAGAGATGGATGCTGCAGCTGTCATCACTCTTTTGACATCTGGCCACCAGTGCTCATGGCAGATCCAGCATCCTCTTATGCGTATCAGAGACACACTCCACTCGATCCATTACCAGGTCTCACATATATTCAGGGAGGGGAACCGGCCTGCCGATTTCCTTGCTAGCACGGGGGTATCTATACCCCAAAGACGCATCCTTCTTCCTGAGGACATTCCCCTCCTGCTTCGGACGCTCATTCGGATGGACCAGTTAGAGTACCCATCCTTCATATTCGGTCGACCGCCACCTCCTGCCCCTGACTAGATTTGACATCTTGGACTCCATGCCAGGTCACTCTGACCAAGACGACCTTCTATGAGGATCTGATCTTAGACCCACTGCGATTATTTTTGTGATCCTTGTATTTTTATTTTCTATTTTTTATTTTCTCTACTTTTGATGTTGCTCTTTGTACTTCCGACTTGGATGTAGACCTTTGATTTTTAGCCCTAGCTGGGCTATTATATTCACAGGTCGGGGTTGTAGCCTAAACCCCCCATCCCAATCTGAGATGTTTAAATAAAAAAAAAGGAGGTATTAGGATAGAAAATAATGTTTAAGAGACAAAGTGATAAAAACCGTAAACTTAAGGAAGCAAATAAAAAATTTCCCTATTTTAAAAGTTAAGTGACAGTCTGAAGAACAAAAATGTCCCATCCCATATTTTTAGGGCTAATGAGTGGGGATTTTATCACTTTAGATCAGTTTAGCATGATAAAATCTGAGGGATTCACATCCTATAGAAATTTCAAAATATCCTTTTTTATCATTATTTAGTTATTTTTTCTTTTTTCTATTTTTCTAATTCAATGATATTAGAAATATAGTATAGTTCTTAGTGCATAATTAATTGAATATATTTTAGAGTAAAGATTGATTAGATATCATTTTATAGTAATATGATTACCACATGTTAATTTTTAAGTAACTGCATTATATGGAAGAATAAATAAGGAAAAAATAATATTTTTGATTATTTTTCATGACATTCGAAAGTTCTAAATATAAGTATTTTGTTGCAAACTAACTACATAATTATTTTCAACTAATTTAATCAAAGTGCCTGCCACATCAAGTTTAGAAAAAAGATTAATAAAATTTATTAATTGAAATTTGATTCATATGTAAACAAAATAATTCATTAATTGTTTTCGCAAAGTAACATTTCTTTTAACACCATTGTCCAAATGACAATGTATTTTTTTTTTTTTACTTTTTTTGGACAGAGCAATAGATTAAATTGCATTTCAAAATTAAATATTAAAAATTTTAAATTAATTATAAAAGTCATCTCTAAAGAAAATAAGAGAATCTTTCTAACTCTGCCAAAAAAACGCAGAAACGCGTATGACCTTTCCATTCGTCTGCTTCTTTTTTTTTAAAAAAAAAAATCACCAACAAAATCCACAGGTAATCAACTACAAAAATCTGATTAGAGAAGCATTCATACATATCAAAAAATCAACGTCAACCCATCATCATATTTTTCCAGTAATTGCAACATATATTTCCCATAAAAGATAAATTGAGATTGGCATAGCAGTTGACGTCTTCATCATCGAAATCATCCTGGAAGGAATTGAAGAATTCGGCATCGGCAAGGCGGTGGAGGTCCAAGAGAAGGCTACTTCTGCCACGGATCTGAGACGTTGCCAAATCTGAACTAACAGTCGTCACACCAGATAGTTGCGTCCGCCGGTCGCCGAGCAGCTCTCATTTCCTCGCCGATTGTCGCCGCTCACGAGCCAAACCTATCAGTTGTGTCTACCATCGACCGCAATCGCACTGCCGTACCGGAGCTGCCGCTGGGATGCGCCATAGATGGGCCAACCTTGGTATATATGAATCTTTCTTTTCTCTTTTCTGAAAAAGAATAGAACTTTTGTCTGCTGAGAAAAAAAGATGAATTTTTGGGCATGTTTTGGAACATTGTGCTTGATATAGCCATACTATCGTATAACGGTTTATACTATCAATGGTTCTGAGATTACCGAGTTGATTTAGCCAAAGTCGACTCTCTCCGTAAACTCCCTATAATATCTCCGGTTAGGGGTACAGGCATCTCTCGGTCGACTCCTACGTGTCGACTAGAATAAGTCGATTCCCCCCAAAAAGACGGATAAGCGCATCAGGGTCTACCGATGACTGATGATGACCCCGTCGACTCGAGTTGGTATCCCGAGTCGACTGAGGAAGTCCCGAGACTCATAGATCCCCGACGATCTGATACACTTCGATATATCATAAGAAAGCTGTCAAGGATAAGAAGGAAGCTACTAAGGATAATAAGGAATCTAAATGCTGACTAGGAGAGGGACGGAATGCGAACCGACTAGGGTATTTTGGACATTTCCAGTAAGTCGGCCATGGCATTTTTGGGAACTTCAGGTAAATGTCTTGCTTCTATATAAAGGAGCTGAGGTAACCCAAAAACCCTAATTCCCATTCATTCCATATTCTCCTCCATTACTGCTGCTCTCTGAGAGCCGTTCTCTCCATCTCTCTCACATACTGACTTGAGCGTCGGAGGCTCTACGCCGGAAACCCCTTCGCCATTGAGTT